AAAGTATGATGTCACAACAATGTGATTGGTCCCTTGCAATGTTGAACCTGGAACAACATTTATTATGATGATGTGGGAACAATACCAACACGAGGATATCAGATCATCTATCAATTGCTACAGGCTTACACACCAGTTTCAGATAGGAGAGACTGCCTTGACTGCCTTGTGTGGGGGGATATAACCGGGTGTTCTAGTCAACAAGAAATGGAGACTTTATAGTGTGGGTTAAAGCTGACATCGGCATGGAAATAAAACATCCCTGGTAACAACTGTAAAGTAGGGAGGAGTGTTCTCACGCAGGACAAGATCCCCGACTGGAGGTCAAAGACCATTGCCATGTGGAAGGACCACGAGAGGAACAAATCAGGGAGCATTGAATCTGAACCATGGCATTTCCCCATCAGTAGCCAATCACAAATATTTCGTGTTTTCATATGTCTAATATATGCTTTGAATTGTGAATTGTACTTCACTTCTCCGTGTGCAGACTGCCTGACATAGAAAAGTCCACAGCTGTGCGGCCTGAATCTTTAACTGCCCGGTAATAAATGATAATGCAATTTCATGAATACAATATTTCATATCATTTCACTTTTTATCTGAAAAATGTTACAGCCGTTGAAATTAACATGTTCTAGTACACCTCACGCTCCCCTTTCGACTTACCATCGTTTGCTGCAGGTATCGCTTCCATGTTAAATAGGATGGCCGCCGTCAGCCTTCAGCAATCTGTATAATTAAACCAGTCAGGTGTTAGACTAAGTAAACAGTTAATCTGCAGATTTTAATACAATTTAGTGCAGGGGAATAGTGCAGTTTGTTTTTGCTGTGTAAAACAAACGGCGGTCGATGGAGCAGTTAAAAAGTTCCCTTTTCTTCATTATGGAGTTTGTTGATCAGGTGCTTTGATGAAGGATATCCTCAGAGCAAATTCCTGCTACCTTTTCCCCAGTAAAGGTGTTAACGGTGATTACAGGAACGGCGCTGCTGTTTTGGACGCTAGAAGCACATTTTCTTTCACTCTGAGCTCACTGCTTCGGTAACGGCTCCGTCTCTTTGCTCCTTGTGTTGTGTAAACAGACTCTGCCTCCACGTTAGTGTGCTAGCGTCATCATCACTGCTGCTGTTGTGGCATCTTTTTTTTTTCTGTTTAAAAACTGGGCTGTGTGGGCTTAACGTGATCACACGTTTTTATTCATAACCTGCTCCCAAATAATGCATTTGTATTGCAGGTCTGTTTTTAGTCGTAAACAGTGGCGGTCCTAGCCTGTTTGGCGCCCCGGGCGAACACTCCCTCTGGCCCTCCTCCCCCGCCCACACACACACACATAAAACATATTAAGGATTGTAAATTAACATAAAACTGTTGTCGGAACCATACTGAATTTCACCAGAGAAACACACACACACACACAAAGAGAGAGAGAGTATGCATTACATGCAAACGGCTACTAAACCGCCATCATAATTCGTCATACAATGAGAACAGGACAACAATTGACAATGACTAATTAATATTAAAATCTGTAACCTAATATATTTTTGGGGTTTAGTCTGTTACTGTTACTATTTTTACCATTTCTTCTTGGAGCAACTGTAACCCACATAATTTTCTTTAGGGATTAATAAAGTATTCTGCTTCTGATTGTTTCAGGATGACCTGCCATTATCCAATGACACATCTGCTTACCTGCATCTTTTGCTCGTTTCTCCTCCTCTTCTTTTCTATTTTTTCTAAACTGAGCACCTGATGGCTTTGAACTTTTCTTGTCCATCTTCCATCGGTTTTAATTTTGCACTCCAGTATGACCACAAATCCACCAACTCGAGGATCACCACAACATAACCTAACAGACCTACACCTTAGTTCACAGATTCACGTTGTCTAAGGTGTATTTCTGGGATTTCACACAACCCAGGATTCAAATCATGAATACATAATGGGCTTGGATTTACATCATTATGAATGAAATGTGCTCTATTTGGAAGCAGCCGCCCCCCGCCACGTGTGAGACTTTAAATCATCAAATTATAAATTGTTATTGATCCCTTTACCCCTGGTCCTAAAGTGTATATTTATTTTCTTACTCTTTTTATATTTATTGTTTGTTTACTTGCACTGCTGTAACTGGAGCCTCGTTTCTCTATATACTGGACTGTATGTAGCGGAGATGACAATAAAGTTTACTTTGACTTCAGCAGGAGCAGGCGCACCGAGGGCTGTCGCGCTCACTTTTCAAGTTTCGAAAAAACATCGGCGCAAATTATAAATCTGTGTCATAATGTCGGGTGTTTTCGTGTTTGTTGTTTGCTTTTATTTGTTTTATTCTGCGGGCTGGTTATTAGATGCTGCTCCAGCCAGAGAATCCTCCGCCGCCCCGCCCTCTCCTCCCTGTGCCGCAAGCAGCAGGCGCACCTCGCTAACGGAGGGCGCCCTTACTCCCAGCAAATGGGCGATAGAAAACCGATCGGTGCCTAGGCCATTCCCATTACGCGCTGGCTGATGTCGGGCAGCATAAGTACGAGCAATTTTTTTATCCGCCCCCCACCACGATGCCGCCCCGGGCAACCACCATGAGCCTACAAGACATTTCAATATTCCACATTTTCATGCCCATTGCATCTCTGCACAATACCATGTTACACCAAGCAAGTTCAATATATTAGAATCATATTGTAGTGCATTAACCGGGTCACTTAAAACTACGCATGGAGATTGTAATATGGAACAAAGCGTGGTTTCATACTACATACACAAACACGCAAAACATGGCAAGACAATTATCTTACCTTGGCGAAGTACCGACAGTCTTTTCTCTGCTCCAGAATGCAGGCTAATACAGGAACAAAGAAAGCAGTGCCGCCTGTGTGCGATATGTTGTTTGCACGGTGTGCTGCAAACAGTGAATGCTCAGTTTCGTTTTTGGAGAAACCCTGCCAAAAAGGGATTTCCGGTATGTGTTTGGAAAAAAAAGAAAAGATGACAGGCCTGTTATAAACGACTTGTTGGTCTATAATCTGTCAAACACATCTCTCATAAATGATATCAAGTCATTTTGAGCCAGAAAGAACATTCCTGTCACAAGGCGATCCCGCAGTCATTTTTTGGCAAAGTCGCTTTTTGTTCATCCGGGTACGTCGGTGTCAGGCCGGTGACATTAAAAATGTGTTTTTCAAAAGCAGCATAAATTGCAACAAATTCAATATCACAGTTCTAAAAAGATATATCAAGTAGCCAAAAAGTAGTGGATTGATTATAATGTAGGTATAATAATGCAGACACACACAAAAATACTTCCAAAGTCCAGAGAGCATTAACTGAATATTTAGGGGGGGAAATACACAAAATATGAGGGTTCATGTTCTGTCCAATTGTTAAAAATGCTTGTTAAAAGCTCAGGGATCAAAAGAAGCACCAAAATGAATGAACATTTTTTTAATGGAGTAGGCCTAATTTTAGCACAGTACTGAAGTAGTTTACACCTGTGGCCCTTCTGTTGTTGTATGGCTATTATGCTGTAGAAGCCCAGGTGAGTTAGTGAGCATCTGAGCAGATAACAGAAAAAGACAGAAAACACGTTGAGTGTAGTAAATACAGATCACATTAATTATATGTTTATGGATGTGTGACAAGTTCCTTGTTGTGTCAATATGCTTGTAAGTTGTGGCCAAACAACTTGCAACAAAAAAAGTAGAATGAACTCAGTTCCAAAGAAAGCTAGACCAAGTGCCATTGAAATGAGAAAATAAGGTACTGGTTGGACTGATTTGACCTGAGCAGTACAAAGTATGCTCACCACATTATGTAACCTGTTTGAACCACACCTTAGTTTCAACCAGGGAATGACTATTTACATAATACAGTACCACCAGCCAAGTTAAATATTGAAAACTGCACACTAGCAGACTACTGTAAACACTTTAAAAAGATATTGAACTAAGTAGTTGTATTTTCATATCACATCCTTTATGTTTGTATGATAAATATAAGCGCATTATATGTTGTGCGTAGAGACCAAGTTGAGTTTCAACAACTAGGGAGGGTGAATATCCCTTCATATGTGGAAGAGTGTGTTTACAAGGTAGTTCCTATAAATAATAACAGCAACTGACTACTGAGTAACTTCTGTCTCTCTGTTGCCAGCAGTGCCGTAAAGGATAATAAAAAGTAGCACAGGTCGCACATACCTGCAGGTTTCCAATGATACTGCTGATGGTCAGTTAGGTATTAGGCAAAAAATTAGGTGGATTTCATGTAATCAACTAATCTAAATTACAGTAATCCTAATAATCCTTTCCTCTTCTTATGTGCTTCAAAGGCAGGAGGGATGTATAAACCCCTCATACCTCAAACACCACATGAAGCAGCTTACAGGGTAGCACCCAGTCCTTCAACAATTTCTTTTGGGTCCTCTTTATAGTCTTTGAGATGCACTACATGGACAAAAGTACTGGGCCACCTATAGGAGCTGCTTAGCTAAGAATACCTTGAGCTTCATGGTATAGGTTAATAGTTTTTGTACTGATGTTAATACCAGAGGACATTTGGAGCTCTGCAATTTAGGAGTCAGCAAAGCAGTGGAAAGATTTATGCAGTGGTCTGCCACTTTGCAATAACACTTATAGCAGACTGAACTTTCTCCCTTACTAGATATCCAACAACAAGTGGGATATCTTGTTGTTACTTGTTGAAAGAGTGGCATCCTATTACAGCACCACACTGAATCCAGAGCGCTCTTTAGAATAACTCAGTCTTTCAGTAATATTTGAAAGGTAGACTGTATGGCTAAGTTCTTATTTTTATACATCTATATTAAAAGATTAATAGGTGTGACTCAAAACGTTTCTATGTATGTAGTTAACATCTCAAAGTATAAAATGTGCACAAAATTGGACACTGATGTTCTCATCTAAGAGTAAACGGGCATCATTTCCATTTAGTGTTTTGTCTGCAATTCTTCTGGGATAAACTATATTTGAATTTTATTCACCGACTTTATTTCCTAATATGTAAAGTCCGGCTTTAAATATAGGAACATCATCTGACACACAATAGCTCTGTACAGCTTTGTTACCATATTATTGATTCCTGTTATGCCTCCTCGAGAGCAGGAGGGGGTACCTCAACAACTCGGTACAAGTGTAATAAAGAAAAAAAAGTTTAATGGCAGTTTTCTCACAAGAACAATAACCCAAATTCATACAGTTTGGTTGTGCCAAATAAAACCAAAACTTAGCTGAGCTTTTACCCTAGAAAAACAAAAACAGGGGGAAAAGACCCTAATCCTCAACTCAAAACAAGCTCAAAATTACATGGGTGGCACCAACCTACTTACCTAGTGTTTCTAACAGAAAGGACTCTACGTGAGTAAGTGTATGGGGTCCCCAGACTTAGCTAGTCCTCTTTACTCCCACCACAAACTTCAAACAAAAGAAATACACCAAAGGAGCTTTACACATGTGCCAAACAATTCTAAGGAAGAGCGCCACACCCAGCCACAGGTGAGTCTCCTTATCAAGGTGTGCACTCCTGGTTTGTCCAATCAAAGCCTCCTTCCTCTAATTAGCTGGAGATCCCCGAATTGACACCAGCCTGCAATCTGTGTACCTCAGGAAATGGCAAACAAAAGGAGGGAAAGAAAACATGCAGACACGTAACAATTCCTTTTGGGGTAAAAAAAGATTCATTTTTGGCCAAACTGCTACAATGCAATGTTTCGCACCTTTTTAATATGAGAAAGGGAGAGGCTGTACTCTAGACTATTTTGATCAATATTTATTGTAGCCGATTATTAGAGATAGATTGATCATATTTAAGATTGAAGCATTAAGTAATTGTTGCATGCATTGGATGCAGTCTCTCCTAACAAAACTAGGTTTCCTCCAGAAAGTTTCCCAATTATCTCTGAAGCCCACATCGTCTTTTTTTGGACACCACTCAGACAGACAGCAATTTGGGGAAAAACTGTTAGACACATGAACAGGTTGGTTGTGTACCTGGGGCTTCTGTTTAACTCATTCACTGCCATTGACGTCAATGGCAGTGGGGAGTTACCTGATTTGAAAATGGCTGGCAGTGAATGAGTTAAGACCATGCTTCCTCCTCACCGTCACCCAGCCTTCTTGTTTCCCTGGCTGCTTGGGACAATCTGCTGGGGGACAGCTAGTAGGGGCCTACTCTACCTTCGCTATCATTTCCCAATTCAGTGACCTGGAAAGATAAAGAGATTGACCAGAAATTATGAAAAACCATTGCCCTGACTGACCAGGGCACCTCGTTTATATCTCACACACTAAAAGAACTGTGTGCGGGGGTGGGGGGCTAGGTGGTGGAATGTATTTTGTTAGCCGGCTGCAGGGGAGGGGTGGAGTAGTGGGTTCAGGGTGTGGTGTCAGGGAAGACTGACCACCCCAGGTGATCTTTATCATCTAATCATGCCTCTCCTGAATGTGCGCTGATCAGGAGAATGCAGTAGGAAAGCTGCGCAAACAAAAAGCTACAAGAAAACATTCACCAGCTTGCAACGATATGTGTCGGGTCCTTTTGTGTAACACACATAACTAGATGTGACAGCAGACTTGTGCTCTGAAACTCATGAGAATGACCAGATATGTACCATTGTGCCCGTAAACCATACCTACGTTACTGCACACACAAATTCAGCTGTTAACCCAGTGGTTCTCATTCCCCACATGGCAGGAAGAAATATTTTCACTTCCCATCTAAACAAAACAATGACAGAAATGCCTAGCTGCAACTTTATTTAGATAAACACATTCACAATAAATCCTTCAGTAATTTGTTTTAAAACCAAACAACTCTCATACCAAACAACTATTTGTAACCTTTGTCACTAGGCTGCTTCATTAGTCTTCACCACCTTTTCAAAAAAGCAACAATTTAAACAGAATGTGAACATTGAACTTTATTTTTCCCATGTTTGGCAGTCTTAGTCTTAAAAAAAAGAAAGGAAAAAGAAAAGAAAATCCAGAAACTTGTGAACAGAGATGAAAAATATACAACTTAGTGAGAGTTTAATACTATTACTCTTAGTGGCTGCAGTGAGCCTGTTTTTGACTGCAGAGCCAGCTTAAAACAGAATGAACTAGATCCTGTCATTGATGTGAGAAGGCTGTAGCCAAAAAGCTGCAGCCATGTATGCAAGTCAACAGCTGCAGTAAAGAAGTGTACTGAAAAGTGCAAACATGTGGTCGGGTCTCTCATGCCCCAATCCTGGGTTTTGGAACCACTAATCAATGCACAACAGACCCAACCACATGTTCGCAATTTTCAGTACACTTCTTTATTGCGGCTGCAGCTTTTCAGTGGTTGCAGCCAAGAGCACATGGCTGCAGCCATACCCTTCTTGATGCAGCGGATGCGCATATTATTAACATAACTGCGAATTTCTTTGTTCTGCCGTAAAAGTGATTCTGATGTTGAACAATAGTCTTGGAAGACTTTTTTTGCCAGGTAACTTACACACAACTTGTCAGAACTCTCACACACTTTGAAAACCACTGTGTTAAATTGACTTGTATTTTGAAGCTCATTATAACAATGTCCCGATGTATACAATTGTCCTGGTAAACCATATACCTAGGTGATTGCACACATACAGTGGAGCAAAAAAGTATTTAGTCAGCCACCAATTGTGCAAGTTTTCCCACTTAAAAAGATGAGAGGCCTGTAATTTTCATCATAGGTATAACTTAGCAATGAGATGGAAAAAAAATCCAGAAAAATCACATTGTCTGATTTTTAAAGAATTTGCAAATTATCATGGAAAATAGTATTTGGCCAATAACAAAAGTTCATCTCAGTACTTTATTATATACCCTTTGTTGGCAATGACAGAGGTCAAACATTTTCTGTAAGTCTTCACAAGGTTTTCACACACCGTTTCTGATATTTTGGCCCATTCCTCCATGCAGGTCTCCTCTAGAGCAGTGATGTTTAGTGGCTGTTGCTGGGCAACACAGACTTTCAACTCCCTCCAAAGATTTTCTATGGGGTTGAGATCTGGAGACTGGCTAGGCCACTCCAGAACCTTGGAATGCTTTTTATGAAGTTGCTCCTTCTTTACCCGGGCGGTGTGTTTGGGATCATTGTCATGCTGAAAGATCCAGCCATGTTTCATCTTCAATGCCCTTGCTGATGGAAGGAGGTTTTGACTCAAAATCTGACAATACATGGCCCCATTCATTCTTTCCTTTACACGGATCAGTCGTCCTGGTCCCTTTGCAGAAAAAAAGCCTAAAATCATTAGGGTCCCCCCCTTCTCCAAACACGACAAGTAGAGTTTTTAACCAAAAATTTCTATTTTGGTTTCATATGACCATATGACATTCTAGATTCTTGCTCACTGTTCTTGTGGTCATTTTGACCCCACGGGGTGAGATCTTGCGTGGAGCCCCAGATTGAGGGAGATTATCAATGGTCTTGTATGTCTTTCATTTTCTAATAAATAATCACTCCCACAGTTGATTTCTTCACACCAAGCTGTTTACCTATTGCAGATTCAGTCTTCCCAGCCTGGTGCAAGTCTACAATTATGTTTCTGGTATCCTTTGACAGCTATTTGGGCTTGGCCATAGTGGAGTTTGGAGTGTGACTGTTTGAGGTTGTGGGCAGGTGTCTTTTATACTGATAACAAGTTCAAACAGGTGCCATTAATACAGGTAACGAGTGGACAGAGGAGCTGTTACGTCCCGCTGCAGCCCCTAATCATCTCAATGTTTTCAGCTGGTGCTAATTGACCACACCTAGTCAGGTGTGGATAAAAGCATACCTGAGGCAAGCTTCCTGGGGAGTGCACTAGTTTTTGCATTGGTGGCACAAGCATTTTAGCCAACCTGATAGTCTATTTTAAGGTAAAACCTCGTTTCACCTACACTCTGGTATTCGTCGCCTTTTTTTATGTTGCGGCTTTTGAGCCAGGTCGTAACATAAGTGGGGGCTCGTCCAGGATATTTGGACATTTTAGTGGAGACTGAATGTCAGTTTGTTTTGCTTTTAAGTGGGTGAGTGATGGTGTTCACTGTAATTGAGCAAACTCCCTTTAGTGTTTCAGCTGGGTGGCTGTGCTGCCCTTCCATCGAAGCACTTGTTTGTTGTTTTGCTTTATTGTTTTAGTTTATTGTGTTTGGTGGCTATCCTGGGTGGGGGTACGCTTCAGTTTGGTAGGAGACTATATCTCTGGTCTGCTGCCTGCTCTCGAGTTCGCGTTTAAAGTTGCCTCGAGCCTGGTACACCACTGAAGACTAGGGTAGGAAAAGTAAGGGTTTTGTTGTTTTTAGTGTTTTAGGCTGGGAGTTGCACATAGTAAATCAGTGGCACCAAACTTGGTAGGAGGTTTGAGACCATTCATGATTATGGTCTGTAGTTGAGGCAGGTAGGCTGTTTTTAAATTGGCATTGTGTGTGCATATGTCAGTGTTGATGGATGCTAATGAGATCCTTGTGAGGTGAGTGTTTTGTGCTGTGACCTTTAGTGTTATGGGGAATATGGCTATTTTGTTGAATCACTTGTGAGTGTTGTTGGCCAGGTGATGGCAATAACACTGTGGGGTGCTGAGCCACCCTTGATGTGATCATTGTGTGGCCATAACTCTCAGTTTTGTGGTTGATTTACTGAACTTTTTGGATCAAAGTAACTTGTGGTATAGGGCCACTTGTATGTGACTGTGTGGTGGAGACAACAGATCACTTAGTTGTGATTATTTGTTGCTACTTTTGGTTTTGTGTTGTAGCAGATCAGGTAATCATTTTGGGTTTGACTGTTGTGCTCCTTTGTGTTGGTCACATGTTACATTTTGTGTTAAGTGTGGCAACTTCAAATTCTCATGCCCATCCATGCTTAGAGATGCCAACTATAATGTGAACACTGCTTCTGTTAGCTTTAACTTTTATTCCAGGTTTGTGGGTCAAGGACCTGAAGGCTTCAGAGGGGCTTTTAATAAATTTAAGGGTCCTAGAGGAACCCTTCGAGGGAGGTGTTACGTCCCTCTGCAGCCCCTAATCATCTCAATGTTTTCAGCTGGTGCTAATTGGCCACACCTAGTCAGGTGTGGATAAAAGCATACCTGAGGCAAGCTTCCCGGGAGCTCACTAGTCTTTGCCTTGGTGGTTTTAGCCAACCTGAGTCCATTTTAAGGTAAAACCTCGTTTCACCTACACTCTGGTATTCGTCTTTTTTCATGTTGCGGCTCTTACAGAAGTTGTTACAGGTCTGAGATAGCCAGAAATCTTGCTTATTTGTAGGTCACCCAATACTTATTTTCCACCATAATTTGCAAAAATTCTTTAAAAGTCAGACAAAGTGATTCTGTTTAGTTTTTTCCTAATTTTGTGTCTCATAGTTGAGGTATACCTATGACAGGCCTCATTCTTTTTTTTCTTTTTTTTAAATTGGAGAACTTTCACAATTGTTGGCTGAATAAATACTTTTTTGCCCCACTGTACACAAATTCAGCTGTTAAACTGACTTATATTTTGAAGATCATTATAACAATGTCCTGATATATACCATTGTCGCTGTACAAGTCTAGCATGCTCGTAGACTATACAATTATTGTTTTTCGTCTATTAGTACACTAAGCATCATATTGGAACTTTCAAAAATATTGTCTTTTTTTTTCTGTTCTTTTCTCATGTTCAGGTCAATGTTAGGCTTCTCAATCAGGATGTCAGTTTTCAACTATAGCCAATAAAGCACAAAAGAAAGTAAACTGACAGTTGCTGACAATACCATAACACCTTTATTTATAAAGCACTTTAAAAAAAAAAAAGTACATAAACATAAATAAAACCACTTTTTTATGTTAGTAATTCCTTTTGTGCATAATTTTATATTATTGTTAATAATAAATAAATTAAAGCAACAAAACAACCTGAAGAGCTGGTTCGGAGCCGAAAAAGCCGGCTCTTTTTAGTGAGTCGAACCGAAAGAGCCGATTCTCTAAAAAGATCCGGAAATCCCATCACTATATAGCCCGGCCCCTTTGAAATCACATGTCAGGCATGTCGAGGCAATGTATTTCCAGAGGCACACTTAAATCTAAATCACTCAAGGACAAGGTTGATTAAAGAAGTATTACGCCCAGCATATAAAGAAAAAAGTAGTGGGGGGCGGGGGTATAAACCTGATTTTGGGGGAAACTCAGAAGCTGTTTCAGATTTGACTGCTAACTGTACAAATGCACTTTTTATGGTGAAAAGTAAAATTAAAGGTAATTTTGTTATAACTGTCCAAATAAGCCTTTCAATATAGCTGGCACATTTCTTACACTTTTAATAAATGGTGTAGCGTTATTCATTTATTTCGTTTGATTAATGTTGAGAAACAGCGCTCGTGTTTGTAATAAGGCATTTTTCAGGAGTCATGTGAAAAAAAACATTCTGTCACCGTTTTTCTCGACAGCTGCTGTTAACTGTAAAGTGTCTGAGACAACACCTAATAAAGCAAATATTTTTCATGTGCTTCTAATCTGTGACTCAAACACGTAGGCTAACTCTTACAATAAGAATCACTAAAAACTTTTATAAGAAGCTGTGATTTTAACCTATAAGTGAGACAAAAAACTATTAGATCTATAAGATATGGCAAGGCAGTTATCTTACCTTGGAGAAATACCGACGGAAAACAGTCCCTGCAGGCATACAAAGAAAAGTGCCGCCTGTGTTTCAAGCCCGATATGTTATGTGTCGTTTCCTGCTATGCTGCACACGGTATCCTCGATCAGTTTCAAGTTTCGTTTTTGGAGAAACAAGCCCGCAGAGCTGCACCACCCACAGCATAATGAGCGTCACGTGATTGTTAAAAAGAAAAAAGCTGTTTGCGTTTTCATTTTTGAAATAAAGGTATTTTGAAAAGGCTTTTTAAAGATTCAGAAAAAATAAGTACCAAAATGTGTTAACATTGTTTAATAGGATAGATCTAAGTAGTGTTGAAGCCTACCATATTGGAAACAGTATGGTATGTTTTTGTGTCCCGTCTTTGTACTAAAAACCGGGATTAGTGAGCATCTGAGCACAAAACAGAGCTTTTGAAACTTTTAAGAAAAGGAAAATTCAAACTTACCAATATTTGTTATGAACTCTGATCACCTTAATCATATGTAAGGTTATGGATGTGTGATAAATTAACATTTCCTCTTTCAATGACAAATATGCTTCTTTATTGCTTTAGCCCAGCCGTAAGTTGTGGCCAAACCACTGTCAACATTAAAACTTAGAACACAAAAAGCTAAAAGAAGTGACATTGGATTGATTTGACCTGAGCAGTACAAATAATGTCACCATAATAAGTAAACTATTCGAGCCACACGTTAGCTTCAACCAAGGAGAGGCTGTCTGTCACCAGCAGCCTGAGAAAAGTAACCAAAACAGCTCATGTCAGTTAAACATTAAACTATACACTAGCAAATTACCTTAAACGTGTTAAAAAAAAACAAAAAAAAAACTGAGTTATTACTAAAGCCTAGTAATAATATCCACATCATTACGATAAACAGGATTTGTGTATGTTATGCTTTGCAAAGAGACCAAGTTGTTTTCATAAGTAACCAGGGTGAATATCCACTGCATATGTGCAAGAATGTGTTTACAGGGCAGCTGCTATAAATAACACTGCCCTGCATCATATTTACAGCATGAAATCCAACACCTTGTCTTTACTAATTTTGTGTTGGTGGCTTCAAAAAATATTTTATAAGTTTTGCTCCATTATATCACTTTTTTTTTCTTTTTTTTTTTCCCAGAAGTGGCAATTGCAAACATGATCCAGATATAATTTCCTTCGACTGTGGATACTTCACTACACATCCAAATCCAGTAGCTCATCTGCTCCCCAGTTATTCACTCAGCCAGAATTTAATGACTTGATCCAAAATTAGATTTGGACTTGCCAAAGGAAGCAGTTGAACTACTTGGGTCTCAAAAAACCTCCAGGCTCCAGGAAACAAATTTTATTTTTATTAGACATTGTGAGAGGGATTGTATTCCATTACTGGAAATTGATCATTTTGAATTATGTTGATGTTGAAGGTCTTTATGAGTACAATGCTGACACTGAAAGCTCAGAAAGCTAAAAGGTGTACATGATTTGATGTTTTTACTGTTTTGTTTTTTTAAACTCAGGATTCACTGAATTAGGTAAAATCAACCATTTGCTATTAATGAAAATTACTGACAGCTCACTGTTTGAGTTAATTCTTTGTACCTTTGTTGATGGTAGATTCTATGTCTATGATTACACATTAAAGGATCATAAAAGTAGTGCAGGCCCCACATCTTTGTCATACCTGCAGGTTTGTCTTGTGTTATTTCTGATGGTTAATTCAGAAATTAGGCAAAAACAGGTGAACCTTTCCAGTGGTAGTAGTATAAGCACAGCAACCCAAAATAATATTTACATCTTCTGTACTTTAAGGCCATCAAATCATTCATACCCTGAACACTACATGAAGCATCTTAGAAAGGTAACATCAGGTACTTCTGGCTTTTGTTTCCAACCTTTGAGATACACTATGGACAAAGGTCGTGGGGCACCTACATGTTATTGCTAGTCATGGAAACTCATGCCATTAAGTTCCTGGCACACAGTTTTTGTGCTGATAATAATGCCAAAGGAGGTTCAGAGTTAATAGTTTCTGTTGCTAAGTCAGACAACACCAGCTGCCTGAAGCAACAGCAGGTGAAACTGTTAAACTTACAGTTTGTAGACAAATATGACAGACCTTACAAAACTGTGGCATGCAGCACACTCAAAACACACAAAATATCAGTATAAAAACAATAGAATTTAATGTGCAAGTCATTAACTTCACTTTGACACCCCTGAAAAAGTTATTACACAAGCATTTTGCAGCCTGACTTCCAAACTCCTAATTTGACTCTATAAAGAGGAGGATTACAAAAACCCCACTGTATCCAGACGTCACTCTGAACACCCTTTGGAGGAGCCCACTCTTAATGAGTCAGCTCAATAGTCTTGATTGACAAAAGAGAAGCAGTCTAGCAGCAGCATTAACTGGAATCAAGCACATTTAGCATAGTCAATTTTAAAACATCTGTACACATACAGCACAGTGATATTAAAAAGGGGGAAAAAAAGGCACAACGGCCACATCAAGTGATTTATCATCAATGATCCAAATTCTGAACTGGTCTGTACAAAAATATACATACAGTATCTGTGCAGAGAACAGGCTCACCAAGACGTACACAACATTGCACAATAAAACTACCCAAGTGTTCAACAACATCTGGACCCGTTTCCCCACACTGGAGACCAGATAAACCTTTTTGGACATGCCGTAATAAAATTAAAAGCTTTCTTCACTCAGTTCGGCTACAATAGAACATCCAACACCTGCTGGATTTCTCAGGGTGGCTCGTGGACAGTCTCGTGCTGGGGATCATTTTAATGCAGGTTAGCAGAAGGCACTTAATGCAGGATGCAGCGGCCGCGTCTGGCGGTGAATCCCAGGCGCTGCAGGCCTGGTCCTCACCGACTCACAGCACAGCCACAACCAGGAGTCCAACCTTTCCTTTTGTCTCCCTCACACTTTAAGGCAATGCTCCCATCTGAGCTGGATCCACCTGGCTCTAGTCTAGTTCACACTGGTTTGTTGTCCAGTATAGGAGGATTTGTCAGTGGGGTCACCTCAGGCTGATTGGATTCTCTTTGCCTGAGAGTTGATTCTGAGGTCTGACTGTGCGAGTCAGTCTGTGTGGACGGTGCTGGCTCTGCCGGCTGCACTGTCTGAACCGGGATATGTGACAATACGGGCTCCGGTGCTGATGAGGGCACTGATTCAGCAGCTGCTGTGTGACACACCTGCTCCGGCAGTGACGAATGTGTAGACTCCTGGGGTGGTGAGGAAGCTGTGGATGTGTGTGTTGGCAGGTGTTGAGTGCATGGCTCATTATGTCTTTGCGGCCCATGGTGAGCTAACTGGGCCTGTGTCTTAGCAAGCTGTTCTGCAGAGCAGTAGTAAGGCAGGAATGGTCTCTCAGGCGCGCAGGTCCGCATGGCCAGGTAGGTGTGCATCAGTAGGTGGGGAAAGCGGGAGGTGAAATAGGAGACAAAGTCATCGGGGATGGAGCCCAGAGTCTCCTGGACCTCAGCGGGTAACTCTCGATAATGGTGTTTCTGTTGAAGTAAGGTCAGCCATGAATGTGACTGTAGCAAAACAGGCTCACTTTAGCACAAAGCTGTTTGTTATAAAGGAAACTTTTACCTTGTTTCTCATTGCACGCATGAGGTCTCTGACTGACCCGCCCTTATAGGAGCGAAACTTCCTCAGATCTGCCACATAAGGAAAACTCAGAGCTCAGGCATCGATCATAAAAATGAATTCTAAACACAGAATCAGTACAAAGGAAGTCCTGAAACTAGTGAAGCTGTAGCTTGAACTGAGCATGGTTCCAAGTGTCTCTTGTATTTAAAAACATGTAGAAAGGTATGTGTACCATTTCATCTTTATTAAATGTGAATCCTTTATGTTATCTACATCATCTCTGGATTAATCATTAATATCTGTTCCAAATGTTTTATAAGTAAATAAAAATGAGCGCAGAGTCCATGAAGAATCTGTTGTTGTGATACTGGGTCAAATGGCGCTGTTGACAGGAAGTAGCATGCTTAATTAACCACATGCTCAAATGTTTTCTGGCAGCAGGATGCTGCATGCAACTGAACATACAGTGAGGCACTTAAACAAGCTGTAAGATGAACTAGTACAAGTGTCACTGTGTAACGTGTAATACTGTCAAGTCTAATTTCACACAACAAACAAGAAGAACGTTTTACAAAAAGAGGCTTCAGGAGTTTGTGCACAGTCAGTCTCATACCGGTCTGTAGTGGCACTGTGATGTGCTCTCTCCAGTCACCCTTGACAACAGCCCTCCCCCCTCTCTCCAGCTGTCTCACAATTGGTCCGTCCAGCGGTTCCTTTTCTATCCTGTCACTCACATCCTGAAAACGACCAAAAACAAAAAAAACATCCGGTGAATATAATATGGCAGGCAGTCTGGAGTGTTGTTCTCAGTGACAATATTATTGTATTATTTAAATAAAAAAATGTATTGTAGAAGTTAATATCCCAGTAATCAAAAGCACTTGTTTTTAAATGAATACAGAAGATTATTATTAAAAAGGGAAGCTGAACATACTCTACACCAGGGGTGTCAAACTCAATTGCACAGGGGGCCAAACCTCAAGGCACACTTTAGGTCGCCAGACAAGATAAACATTTATTGAACACACTAAAACAATGTTGTTGTTGTTTTTTAAACATAAATATGAATAAAAACAGACCGGTATATAATTCCAGAATAAACTTTAACTTTAAATATTTTTATAAAAATATATCCTGTCAAAATTATGCAAGCTAGAAATATGAACATGCTGCCAAAACCAGAAAAAATAAATGAAAACCTACACAAGGTTCGAGCCACATGTAGACGGAGCTGGGCATTGCTTCAGGAATGGAATTAATAAACCCTGTGGGTCATACTTTCCCTCGAGTGTCCCATTAGAATGCAGCTCCATCTGAATCTACACAGGTGCAGTTTCAACTGTAAATTCTCTTTTTGTGCTTCAAAGTCACCAAAGCGCCGTGCGCTCAGTTTATCAGCAAAGTGCGCATTTGGGAACACTGTTGAACTGACTTGGTTCAACATTACTTGGCAACAGGGAAAGTGAGGCAAGTTGCACTGGTGCATTTGTGACA